ATTCAGCATCTGGTGAATTTAAGTATGATTTCATTTCGTTGGGCCTCGGTGGAGGTTTGAACTCTCCTGACTGACATTTTAGTTGTAATGCAGGTTCTGTGTGTTTAAGCCTCATGAAATAAACCATGAATATGTATAAGGCAGCTATGCTTATTATCCAGAGTAATTATTTAACCTAAAACTACACAAACAGGTAACTGAAGAATGAATGTTTATCTTGTACCGGCTTGGTGATGTCGAAGACGACGATGGCGGCCTGAGCTCCGCGGTAATACATGGGCGCCAGGCTGTGGTATCGCTCTTGTCCCGCGGTGTCCCAGATCTCAAACTTCACTGTGGTGTCATCTAGACACACAGACTGGGCCAGGAAAGCAGCTGGACACACAGACAGACAGACAGAGGACAGGTGGATACTCCTCAAACCTGCTATCACTGCTGGTGAAAAGTAGTGATTTGAGGTACTTCAATTGAGTATTATACTTCTACTCCACTACTTCTGTCTGACGATTGAGTTACTAGTTCCCTCGTAAATTATATAGTGACTTAAAGTAGCTGAACGTTGTTCTTGCACCTTATATTATTGTCATGATCGATTCTTCTGCTACTATCCAGAAAAGAAGCCTAAATATCACAGATTCGAACGCTGCCATCTTGCCCTGATGACATCATTTGGAGCCAGAGTCTGTGCAGTAGCATACGCGACGTGGATCCCAGGAATCGAGGTACATACACTACAAATAAGTAAGAATCAGTCTCAGCTGTCAATCATGACGTCTCAGCCCATTTTTATAGCTGAATGACAAAAATCATCTTTGAGAAAACGTATTTGATGTGTGTACTTTTGACTGTTTTAGTTTTGGTCCATGTCCCTTTTGCTAACATGGAGGAGCCATCACGTCATTTGTATCCGTATTCACATTCTATGATTCAGATGTCCGTCCCATCAACACTGAACAATGGGAAACGTTTACTTGGTCTCAACGATGGACTGATTAGACTTTGATGATCAAAAGGTCAAGGCCGCTGTGACCTCATGTCATCCATCTTTACATACAGTCTATGGTCCCCACTGAAATTATAAATCAATGATGATGATTTGAAGATAGAAGTTCCCTCAGATCCACCACAAATCAACAACATCCACCCTTCTTCCCCTTTTGTCCTAACATCCACTCACAACCCTCCCGGCCTTCGGACTCACCTCCGATGGTCGTCTCCTGGAACTCATCAAACTGTCCCTTGACGAAGCGCAGCACCAGGCTTGACTTGCCCACGGCCATGTCACCGAGCAGCACCAGCTTGAACTGGCAGATCTTGGTCTGGGGTAGTGTGCCGTTGGTGCGGCCTCCACTCCCTCTGGAGCTCATACCGGCCCGCGTAGGAGTCGGCAGGGGGGCTGGGCCTCCTCCCTGGAGTGGAGTAGGATGCGTCTGGACGTCGGTCACTTTACTTCAAAAAAACCGGCTGTAGTCGGGTCTCGCTGGTGACGTCTCTTCTCTGCCTGTTGTGCCTGTGTGAAGAAGAGGAGGGGTTAGTGGATGACACCATGACTTGCCTCTTATCTCCAGTGGGCCCACGGGTTTGAATTGAGGGGTGGAGGTCTGACGTGAATGAAATCTGAAACATTCAGTTTAACATCAAAACATTTTCATAATTTATCACTATTCTACTGTAATCTACAATATAAATAACAGATACTAATACTAATAAACTTTACATACTTCCCAAGTAAATGATACACAAAAGAGTTCTAGAATACACAGTTAAGTACTAAAATGTAATGGACATAATAAGCCTATAATAAAGAGACTAATTACAAGTCTCTCTGGAAGATATTAATGAAAGTTTTAATTTGCAATAGAAACCTGCAGAAGCTAAAATGTTCTGTCTGCTCCACATTTATCCAGGAAGGTTCTCGGTTCTAATCCCAGCTCGGCCACACTGTAAGTGTGAACTTTGCAAGTTCTACCCGTGTCTGTGTGGGTTTTTTGTCCAGCTTCCTCCCACAGTCCAAACACATGCAGATTGAGGTTTGGTTTATTTAAGGCTCTAAATTGTCTGTAGGTGTGAGTGTGAATGGTTGTTTGTCTGTATTATTGCCCTGTGATACCATGGCGACCGGTCCAGGGTGCGCGCGATGTCATCTGACCCTCAAAAGAATACGCGTTATAGATAATCGCTGAATGGATAGTCTGTGTCTCAGTGTCATAAACACACGAAGCTTTTGCACAGAGTATCGGTAATATCGCTCTTGGTTTAATCGAAGAAGAAGTGGACACCATCCTCCTGAGCTGCTGCTGCTGATGATGATGATGGACAGTGAGACATGATCGGGGGGTTTCACAGGGAGGATGAGGAGGAGGATGATGATGATGCAGCAGCTCTGCTCCCAGGCTGTAACACTGAAAACACCATCACTGCAGCACGTGTGTGTGTGTGTGTGTGTGTGTCCACCAAGCCTCAGCGTTTGTCACAGCAGCTAAAGAGCCACCATCACTGTCTGCAAGCCTGTGGCCAACCACGACTTCCATGTGGGATCTATTAACAGCAGTGTGTGTGTGTGTGTGTGTGTGTGTGTGTGTCCTTCCTTCCTGCATCATCACACTCTCATTAAAACACGTTATCTCGCCTCCATCTCTTATCTGCGGTGCTAACGGCAGCTCTCAGGTCGGATCACACCAACCCGGATCGAAGCGTTTACATTTTCGACGCCTGACGGAAACCTCGGATTCTGCGCGTTTCCCTTGAAGCACGTGTCTGTGGTCGGAGGACGGCGGGATCTTATTTACCTGGGTTCAGGGGTTCGGAGCCGCGGGGTCGCAGGCTCCTCTGTTGACAAGTCGCGATCAGCTGGTGGAGGAAATGTTCACACTTCCTGTAAAGACGCGCGTGCGCACTGAGTGACGCATTGTGGCGCTGAAGAAGAACCGCATTATTTCACCGATACGTCATTTACAACGATTCGCCGGTTTTATACCAGCGATGAATAATCACGATAATGTAGATGATGTATGAATGATGTGTTCCCTTTGTGGAGAACTCAGAGAAACGCTGGGACATTTATTTGTAGAGTAATTATCACTTCACGTTTCTGTGGGAAACTGTTGTGTTTGACAGAGAATGATATTAAATTTGATTATTATTTTAATACAATTTTATATCCGTAAATCTAAATTCCAACCTCGGAAACCGAATTTTACAGAACTGCTAATTTATATCAAATTAAAGAAAAATATTAAACCTTTAAGATTTACAGGATTATTATTTAAACACTTTTTCTTTTTTATTGATTTTGCTTTTTCACTGAATAAGTATGGACTTATGTTCAAGATGTGAATATTTTTATATATATATATATAAATATATATAAACATACAATATATAGAGATTTGGTTTCTCCTGTGGCCTCCGGGCCGCTGGGGGCGCAGGAGGGCAGGTAGCCCGGTGAGTAGTCGGAAGTGTTGACCATGTGGCGGATGTTTGAATGATCAGGATCCATCTGAAACTCGTCTCTACCTGTTTTTATTTACATTCTCTGATCTGAAACATAATGAATCTGTCAAATTAAACCGGAAACTCGTCGCTCGTGTTTAACTCTCAGTGATTGATGCTGAGCGTCGTCATGCCAACGAGCAGCAGGCAGAAGAAGAAGAAGGGGGGGGACGTGGCGGTGAGATCAAGCTACAGTAATCTCAATGGTGTAATGTAACTGAGTACTTTTACTCAAGTACTTCAGAGTATCTCCTTCACACAAGTACTACTACTACAATCCAGCCTTTTATATACCAATGAAGTTTTTATATGTAGGATATTACTTTATCAAATGTTTTATTAAATTCTGTACAAATACAATCAAACACAACACATTTCTGTTTTCTCCATCAAACAATTAAAATAAACCAAAGAATACAAACAAAACAAAGAAGTTATCTGGACTGAGCTCAGTCATATCGTCTGGTAATGAAAGTAGTTTAGGTTCTTTCTTGTGTTCGACACATTTCAGTGAGTTTAACAAAAGTTTTGACTCCAGCAGCTTTGAAATGATTAGAAATATCTACATTCATACCACATAGTTGTGAAAGTACTGCAGCACATGTACTAAATTATTTATTATATTCTTTATACAATATTTGACTTTTTAATACACACACGGTGAGACAAAGTGTGTAACTAAGTACAAAACCTTTTTAACGGAAAAAACACAAGTAGATTTTCAACATTTTTATATATAATAGATTACTACAGTGTGATATTTCTACTTTCACTTTAGTAATGAATACTGTAATTAATAAAAAGATTTAATTAAACTTTTGATGACTCTGTTTATTTGCGGCTTGAACCAGGTTCAGGGAACCAACGACAGCAGCGTGGTGAGCAAGGTGTCGGCTGCAGCGCTGGGCTACTTCCATGACGACTTCCTCCAGCACTTTGTTTGCAAAGTGGCCAGAAGATCCCCGCTCATCAACAGGTCAGTGGAGACGTCATTCTTTAATTTTTTTTGCTTGGTTCATGTCCCGTCTGCCAACATGGAGGAGGCAGGTTTTATGACCTATATGCAGCCAGCCACCAGGGGGCAATTGAGATGGTTTGGCTTCACTTTTGAGGCACTGTCATGTCGTCCATCTTGATTTACAGTTACAAACAAATATTTTACATCTACCGATTTTTGTAAAAGTTTAATTGATCTTTAAAAACTTGGGTTTTTTTCCAGCATATATGAAAAATAGTCAAATGAGAAATATAATCAAATATGGTTCTTTGGATGAATATATCCAGTGTCTGGTTGTTCTGTACATGTCAAACTTTATTCGGTTATTTGCTTCAGGGGCTACTATGTTCGCTGGAGAGCTGTGGACCACTGCGTGAGGAAGTTTCTACACGTGACTGAAAACTGCCCCAAGAGACAGGTGAGTTCTCAGAATAAACTAACACGCCTGAAAACAAATATTACATGACCACTACAACCATCTCTTTTCCCAAACAGACTCAAACACAGCCTGGGAGTTTTCAAACTAAAACGAGACCAGCAGCATTTCCAAACTTTATTGGTGTAGAAGTGTGGATGAAGCCGTATTGTCATTGGAATTTTTTTCATTCTGAAGAGCCATGAATTCTCATTATCTTTCCACCTTTTTCTAGATTTTGTCGTTGGGTGCAGGTTTCGACTCGTTGTATTTTCGCCTGCGGGCGGATGAAGCCCTCACCGGGGTTGTTGTGTTTGAGGTGGATTTCCCTGACGTTGCTCGGCGAAAGACTGCTCTCATCTCCTCTAATATTACACTGAGGGGGATGTTAGACTCACACTTACCTTCACCTACAGGTTTGTCATTTACTTTGCTTTTACAAAATATGTTTGTCATATAGTTGATGTGAGATTTCAGAAGAATGTGTGTGTGTGTGTTCAGGAGCTGTGCATGTATGGAGTGGTCAGTACCGACTGTTAGGGTTGGATGTCAGAGAGGAGTCGCAGGTGAAGGAGGCTCTGGAGGCAGCTGGGTTGGACTGGGCTGCTCCGACTCTGATTCTGTCTGAAGTGGTTCTCACCTACATGGAAACACGATGGTAAACACTCAGCGTTGATAAGTGTCTTTTCTAAACCTGTTTGTAATGTTGTGTTGATACTTCACAATTATTCCTCGTCATTAGTGAGTCATCCTCAAACTCTTCTACAATAATTTGTTTGTGAGTTTTTTTTATAAACACTCAGTGGTGCAGAGTGAAGTTAGAAAACTTTGTGTTCATCCCACCTGGTTTGTCTGCACTGAAGATTTCAATATTTTTCATCAAATGAAACTGAATTTTCCTTTTACCGTTCACGTGTGTGGTTTATATATATAAGTTTGAATGATTTACTTAACTAATGTTATTTTTTCATACATCACATGTATGTTAAACAACCGACACAATCTTCAGACCCAAGTTCAGAACTTTTCAAAATAAAAGCTCTGTAATTCAGCTGGATGCATTACAGCAACGTCTGTAGACAAATTGGGAAAGAGGAAGTAATACTATGAATGTTGCTGTTATGATGGAGATCAGCTCCTGTGAATGTCTGTCTCAGTCCATTATGGTGAAATAAAAATATTCAAATGATCAGTTTTGGTTTTCTGGCCGCCCCCAGGAGCTAGTCGCCTGCTTTTTGTATTGATATGTGACACACATACAGTTTGTGGAATTAGTCAGTAGATGTCATCAATGTGTTTTCATGTCACAGTGACCCACTGTGGCCGACACAGCTCTGAGATGAACGTCCGTTAGCAGCAGTATGTTGTGTGTTTTTTCCAGGTCTGATGTTGTCATCGGTTGGGCGGCAAAGCTCCTGCCTCAGTCACTCTTTGTGATGTATGAGCAGATCCATCCACACGATCCCTTCGGCCGGATCATGCAAGATCATTTCCACAAACTGAATTCAACGCTTCATGCCCTTCGACAATACCCAGACGCCGCAGCTCAGAGACGCCGGTTCCTGGACAAGGCCAGCATGCAAACCTATCACTGAATTTTTTTACTGTTAAAGTGCAAAGGACAGAATTTGATAAACCTGTGTTTTTGCCTCCAGGGCTGGGATCAGTGCGTGTGTCTGGATATGAATGACTTCTACCTGGGGCTGGTTCCTGAGGATGAGAGGTGCAGGGTGGAGACCCTGGAGCCTTTTGATGAATATGAGGTTAGCTGTTGGAATGTGGTGGCCATTTTACTGTCAGCCAAGTTCGTAGGGTAGCGCTTACTTTGTCTGCAAAGCACCGTGGGTCCACTGTAAACACAACACCAGGAGGCTGAAAACCATTTAATTAGAGTTTGTTTGAACACACAACCTGCAGGTGATTCTTCAACAGTAACTGCTCTGGTCCATGATGCTAAATACAAGTGATTCGGTGTGTATTTGGCATGTCCCATACACCAACATGGAGGGCATAGCATTAATGACGGAGCCAGTCACCAGGGGACTACAAAATGTAGTAACAGAAACATAACCACAGAAAACTGTTCTAACTCATAAACACAGTTGATAACAACATGAAATGTCAGAGCCTGTGTATCTGTCCGTCCTCAGGAGTGGCACCAGAAATGTTCCCACTACTTCATTCTCACTGCATCTCGGGGCTCTTTTATGGCTCAGGCTTTACTCACACATCCTCCAGGTAATGTTTGCTTTCACCTTTTGAAATCTCTCTAAGTCATTTGACATCTTTACAACAATTTATTGACAAGCAGGGGTCACCAGGTCTAATCCGGTCCTGGAGCTATAACCCATAAATCATTGAGAATTGTCAAATTTTGCCAGAGAACCAGGAAACTCAGAGACCAGTTGCATGTGTTGTAAACTTGTATGAATGTTTTTCCTGTCTAAGCTTGTGACGTGGCTTTTGTTCCCCTCAGTATCTCCAGTGTCGTCTGTAAACACATCTTTGAGCCCTGTTGCCCTGAGTGTGAAGCCTGAAGCTGCTTGTGTGGAGGGTTTGGGGATGGCTTCCACCTCAGTGAGCCCAGGACAGCTCCTGCTAACAGGAGGCTCCAGCAGGGGGGGCAGGGGGGCAGTGAGTCGAGTCCTCCTCCGAGGGCAGGAAGGGTGGAGATCCGTCCCTCGGGAACCGTCACTAGATTTGGGTGAGAGGACTTGCTGCAACAGAAAGTTCTTGCGTTTTACACTTTTTACTTTGAGGGAAATCTTCAAATCTTCTGAGCTTTTAATAAATAAAAGAATGTTTTCAGCTTGAATCAGAAATGTTAAACCTTGATGATGAGGAGATCTGTACAAAATAATTTATCCAGAGAAGCTACCTGGTGTTACTGGTTTTATTTCTGGTGTAAGAGGTAAACATGGGGGTAACATTAGACATATTTTGCTTCAGCTTGTGTTTCCCTCTCGCAGGTGTCCGACTGTACCACACTGTCACGCTCTGCCCTGGAGGAGGTATTGTGGTGTATGGAGGTCGCTCCTCTCCTCTCAGCCCAGTCAGAGGCCTTTTTAAAGTGATGCTGGACCCTGGTGGTCCCCCTGCCCCTCTAGACATAGTGAACCTGTGTGTAGAGGAGATGGTCTGTACAGGTGATCCACCACCGCCAAGATGGAGGCACACTGCAACGATCGTCAGTCACAAAGGTACGTTTAAAATAAAGTCCTTTTTCTCTTCATCTGAACATGCACTGATCTCCGGATAATCTCCTGAATGCAAAAGTCTGAAGAAAGTTCAAACCCAATTGTCCGGACATTTCCCGGAGTTCATGTCTGAAAATGGAATCATTCAAGAACTTCTCTTTTTTCTTCTGCAGGCAAAGACTTTCTGTTTGTTTATGGTGGAAAGAATGAATCCGACGCTGCTCTGGGTGACGGCCACTTCCTGTGTCTTGACCAGCAGCACTGGACTGAGGTTTGCTCCGTCTCCCTATTCTTTTGTTCTCTTCAACACATAATTGCACGTCACTGAAAATATAAAATGAAGTGTTAAAATGTCCTTTCATACATCCCTGTGTGTTATTTACAGCTTCCAGTAGAGGGAGCAGCACCAGAGGCACGCCACTCCCACTCAGCATGTTCATATCAGGGAGGTGTGGTGATGTTCGGAGGACTGGACCGAAGGGGCATTCCTCTGGGGGACACTTTCGTACTCAGGCCCACTGACAGAGGATTCTCCTGGGAGAGAATCGAGCTGCAGCCACCTCCAGTCCCCAGGTGTGATGATGTGACACAAACGCTCTGATGCTTCGACTTTAAGAAAGACGGTTCATACAGTTTGATCTTAATGGGATGTGCTTTGTTTTAGATACTCCCATTCTGCCCATGTGATTGGACAGAAGCTAGTTGTGGTGGGCGGGGTCTGGATGCATTCCGATGGCGTACCGGGTGTTGTCACGATCGACCTCGCCACACGGAGCAGCATTGAGTTCAGTCTGGACACGGTCAGTTCACATTTATTTGACTCGATCAAAATAGAGAGAGGCGACAGGAAATGATCTAGAAGGAGGCAGATAATCTGCATCACCCCCTGGTGGCTGGCTTCAGTATAAGTCATAAAACCTCCTCCGTGTTAGCAGATGGGACATGGACCAAACAAAAAAATTTAAGTAGACGTTAAATAAATGTTTCCCAATGGTTGAAAGTGGAGACGCATCGTGCATCTATATATACAGTGATAGAGATGTGACCCTCTCTCTCTCTTTCTTTCTCTCTCTCACTCTCTCTCTCTCTCTCTCTCTCTCTCTATATATATATATATATATCCCTGTGCCCCTCCGCCCCCCTGTAGACCATGGTGCCGTGGCCCCTGATGCTTCACTCTTTCTGCTGTGAGCTGACAGACTCAGAAGAACCAGATCTGCTCCTGATTGGCGGAGGAGGAAACTGTTTCTCCTTTGGGACTCATTTCAACCCTCAGCCTGTCACTCTGAACCTCAGACCTGTACTGGGATGAATTTCTTCTAGAATCAGAAGCAAAAACTCTGGACCGAGCACTGAATTGGGGACCGATGTCCATTCTCTGTCCAAAATAAGGCAGTACTGGGAGAAGTACGGTTTTCAGGATCCCGACCACAGCATTTCCTCTGGCTGTCTGAAAGGTGTGTCCCTACAGTTCATAAGAACACCATGACTCTATTGACGTGCACTGCACAGCTAATGTTACAGTCACATTACTCATTAAGATGTGATCACAGAGCTGCGGTATGAAAACACTTTGTGTTGTGTTGTTCTTCTATCAAGCAGACCATGTAGTAATATAATAAAAACACAAACCTGTAGCTTCATTCTGCTCCCAGTGGTTCAGTCTCTCCTCCTCCTCACTGCTGCAGCTCCAGGATCTCCCCCTCTTCTCTTGCTCACCTCAGTACAGCTCTCAGCTGTTTCAGTGTGTAAATGGAGAAGACACGTTTCTCCTGTTAACACTGTCGCCCTGTTATCAGGCTATAAGTGAGTCTGTTTGCTAACGTTAGCCCGCATTAACATTCAGCTACCTAACGTCAGTAATAAAGCACTACCACAGCGTGCTAACATATTTTCTTCATGTAAACTATTAACTAATGTTGCATATACGAAATACACAGGTAACATTAGTAAATATATATCGATCCATAGACTCCTCCCCCTCACTGCAGAAAAGCACAGAGTTTGATATGATGTCATCAGCTTGTGACACACTGGACCTTTAATAATTTGGAGAAACAAGGATGAGTATTGTTACTCTACTACTCTTGCAACTAACTTACCAAACATAAGTGTCTGCTGCACAGAATGTGTCAGTGCAAGAGAAACTACAGAGCAACCAAACAGGGATTAATCAACATCCCTTCTACAGTTTGAAGAATGCTGCCACAGAGGAGATGATTCTGGAGATGCGGTTGGGTTTTTTGGACATGTAGGTTTTTATACAGTCAATGATGTTTTTCTCGACCTCTGGTTCCCTGTTAGAAATGCAAAGAAGCAGCATTTCTGGACCGGCCCACTTCTTACACAGTTCCTTGAAAACAGGCTTATGGAGGTTATTGATTATTTCTGAGGATATCTCAAAGTCAATGTCTTTGACTTCGGCCCATGTTTTTTTAAACAGGTTATGAGCGAGTTCTGTTGGGTTGCCATAAGACAAGTTCACTTTTGACTTTACATTGACTCGAGCAACAAGCTGGACGAGGATGAGACTGACAAACATTTTTTTGCGGGTCTCTGCCAGGTCCCTTGTGGATTTAATCTCCATTACAGTGGATGTCATTCGGTTGGTGTAGTCACCGGCCTGTTTTGAGAACCACCAGTTCATCAATGGCAGGGCATTGAACACTCTCTCCTGTATGTTCCCGTACATCCTTCTATGTGATTTAGGAACAGACACTGTCATTGCTGCATCTGGAGTCACCACTAAAATCTCAGCTGTGACGTACCTGTAAAGGACATCAGTAAGGACAGGTGCTTTTTCAGGTAAAACTCTGAACTTAGTCTCTGTCAGAAGCAGATACTCGACACTAGCCATCAGAAACTTCATTGACTCCCTGCTCTGGACTTTGGTTTTCTTCTCGAATTCCTTCTTGACTTGTGCCCCCATCTTGACCATCGATGCTGTGGCAAAAAACTTTGCCAAAATCTTCATGATCTTCTTCTCCACTCCTTTGCAAATCCTTGTGTCCTCCGAGGATTTAGAGATACTACTCAACTCAGAAGATGTTACTCTCTTCTCTTCACTAATTATCTGAGAGATTTCATCTGAAGTAGCTTTAAACTCCAGAGAAGATTCGAGTATCAGCTCACTCACGTCAGCTTCGGACATTTCATCTACAAGGGGCACCATGATCTCGCTCACCTCCTTCAAAATAATTTTCGTGACAGTCCCACTTTTGTTAAGGAGACTGCTGCTGAGTGTTGATTCTGAGGTTGTTGATCTGTCAGAGCGGAAACTGTTTGGTGAGGAGTAACTGTCTGATGAAGATATTATCCCCTGAAGTAACTCGTGCATAAGCTCAAATGGGCTTTGACTACCTAGTTTCAGCTGGAACGAGCCCTCGATTCTGGCCGAAAATTTCCTCAACACTTTGCAAACACAACAGACCATTCTTTCAAGTTTGTTGGGTGTAGGCCTGGGAAACTGTGGCGGTCCAGCGGAGTGTGCCCTGGTGGAGTTCTCCGACAGGAAGTAATTGACCCTCTCTATCATCTCCTCTGCAACCAACCCTGTGAGTTCATCCAATCTTACAGAATTTGTTAAGCTGCCCTGTGCGAAACTTTGACGAAGTGCGTCTCCCAGACTGGACTGGAGACTCTCCGTAATCAAGGGCAAGTCATGTCCATGTGCCCTAATCAGGTCTAAGGACACAGACGATGTCATGAGCAGAAGAAGTTCTGCCAATAGATGCTTTGTGGCATTGTCTGGTGTTTCTGATTTTAACAGGTTCCACTGCTCTATAGTCAACTTGGAGAGAAAGTGCTCAATCTGCAGGCGAATAGTTTCAACTGTTTCGTCAGGCAGCTTCAATGCATCAGATGTATCCATGGTGAATATGTGAATTATATTCTCCTCCCTATATGGAGACACAAAAACCTGCTACATCATTCATCGTTCATCAATATTCTTTATACCTTTCTTCCTAAATATACAACTCTGTACAGAGTCCTTTACATTCATACAAGATGAAAGGTATCTTGTTCTTCTCTTATTTGTTATTCCAGCCATAATTCATAGACACATCACAGACATGAACAAGTCATTTTAAAGATCAAAGCCAATTAGAATGTGTCTCAAAGATAAGTCCCAACCCCAAACCGTGACTGACATAGCAACCTGACTGACATAGCAACCGTTGCTGGGTAGCAAGCCTGGCCCCTTGTTTAAAGCTATGGTTACTGTAATGGCGTTTTCAGACACGAATTGCTGAGGATGTCCGAGCCCTTCTTCTTCTTTGTTTGGTTTATTGGCAGGTAGAAACCAACGTCAAGTTACTCTACCACTGTCTACTGTGTTGACGAACGTTGGTTGCCACCCGCCAATAAATGGAACATCGGACATTTAGACTAAAAACACGATGTTAATGTTTCGAGTTGAATTTGACTGTCGAGGCTCATGGACACTTACGACACCACAGGAGCAGTTTAGAGGAGTTTTTAATGTTTTTCTTAGTGTTTTTTTAACATTTGAAACATTGTTTTGGATTTGGCTGCAACACCATTTACCCCTGAAACTCCGAAAGTGTTTTGTGGACTCAAACACTTCACCCACCTCTCGATCGGCACAGTGGTGAGTAGATAATTTTCATTTTTCAGTGAACTATCCCTTTAAGGACACACCATACTTAAAAGATATCAAACCACTACACAGAAATGTCTTCAGTCTGTTTGCTGGACAGATTTTTATTTGCGAGACCTCAGAATGGATTCATGAGAATCATGTTTTGAATGGAGGGTAAATCATTCAGTAAAGCGCCTGAAGGACAGGACTGTGGGACTGATGGCCCCCCAGTCGCCAGGTTTGCGGTATTCTCCCTTCTCCAGGAAGTACTGGCGTCCACGGTAGTTGGGATGCTCGTAGAAAACCCACCAGCCGTCGAAAACCTTGCAGGAGTTGACCTCCCTCCAACGAAACTTCTCCAGAAGGGAGGGACAGTCCTCTGTGGCCTCGAAGGCCTGCCCCCCGAAGTCTGCCCTCTCATAGAGCTGCATCTTGTACAGGGTCCCACTGGTCTGGAGGGTGGCGAGAGGAAGAGAGGAGGGGGGGAGTGGTAGTTAGTGTATGGGGTTGGGATAGAATGGGAACGGAATGTGGGGTGAGAGAAAAGGTGAAGGGGGGATATATAGGGAGATAAGATTTTCTATCTAACAAAAGGGAATCATGTTCAAAACTTTATTTTAACCTCCTGTAGTTTAGTCATATAGAAACATAATGAATAGTAATAGTTGTATTTCCGCTACAAGTGGTTATCAATGCAGCTGGATTCTTTTGGACTGTTCACATCTAAAATCACGTCTTTTTAGATTAGTTTAACCAACATTACCAAATATTATTTTGTGTTTGCCTCTGACGTTAACCTTTAATTATTCTTGTTTTTACATTGAATGTATTTTAAGTTGTCCTTCAGAAAGGCATCACAAAATAAAATAATAATTCTCATTACTATTTTAATTAGTATCATTATTATTAGTCATACTTAATGGCTGGTGTATAAATACATGATGTGAGACATAGTTGAATATTGGAGATAAAACTGGTTGTTAATAACGTCTCAGTGTTTTGAACTGATCACAGTTCAGCTTCACTCTTCAACTGTCTGGAGCTGATTCAGTTGAAGCTGTGACTCTCAGTCAGTTTTTCTCACAGGAGTTCAAACCCACTCAGCAGAGTCACACAGACTAAACGTTAAGGGAGTGAATGAGGAAACGTTCTCCATGTTCACACTCACTCAACATCAAACTCACTTCAATCAAGCCGATATTTCAGGGTTAAAATATGGATCATTTTAATGTCTTTAAAACTGTTTGCAACCACACGTGTGTCATAAGCAATTTGTTAAATATAGCAAGTAACTGCGTGAATAATTGTGCTCTCACTTCTCTGCACAGGTTTTATAGTCTGTGCATCAATTAGACTCCACCCCTCACTGTTTTGCTTCCTTCCTGCCTTTTTGAACGAACCTCGTTGTATGAACGATACAACACTGCACATGGGCACAGCTCGTACTCGCTACATTGACTTTTAAGTAGTGCTGCTGAATCTGCCCCGCAGGCTGTGGGTCTGTTGGACAGAAGCCTGAACGTACAAACAGGCTGACCCATGTATTGGTCTCCATTGACAAAGCCCTGCAGCCACTGCTAGCATCATAGCATGCTCTTCCGCTGGTTTTTACTTTCCCCCTGTAACTCACTGCAGTTGTGAACAGTTCAGTGAACAACTCTGTCAGCTGGGTAAAGTTAGCACAGGGAGGCTGACTTACAAAGTGGATCATCTTGCAGGAGCTGAGTCGGTCGTTGAGTCCCATCCAACGCTGGTAATCTGGGTACTCCCCCCTGGTCAGAACATACTGGTAGCCCATGTAGTTGGGCCTCTCGTACACCACCCAGGCCCCGCTCTCCACCCGGATGGAGTTACAGCGGCTCAGGTAGGCGTGGAAATCTGAGCAGTCGCTGTCGCACTCATAGCGTCGGCCCTGGAAGTTCTTGTCCTCGTAGAAGACAATCTGTGGAACAACACAAACCTATTTTAGACACTGCAGCTTGGAAACGCATCAACAGCGACTTCCTGCAGAAAACCTGACAAACCAGTCGACAACACTTTTTGGAACTTGTCAGTTTCACCTGGAAATGTAAATATCAGCAGATTGGGACACATGCATGGCTTCAACAAAAACCCACACTGTACTCTTTAACGAAAACGCCACAGTGTGAACCTGACTGTCAATGCTGGTCCTGCTCTGTCTTCACTCACCCTGCCCATCTTGGATATATTGCGCGGGACAGCCTTGGTGATGTCAAGCGATGGTGGTGGTCGTTCCCCTGCGGTCTCGATGTTGCTCTGGCTCCTCGCCGCTCCCTTTTATACGCCCCGCTTTCCCCACGTTTATAAACAGCAACAGTGGAGGCAAAAGGGGAACAATCGCTTTGTCATGAAAATGAGATCCAAAAATTGAGTCAGTGATTCTAGTGCTATTCAGTTTTTCCAGAAAAGCGAGGAAGGATTACGGCATAATGCCCGGGCATGGTAAGCATCCATTGACCCCACTTCTGTACTGTCTGCATCCAGTGCCCCCACCCCATCCACCCTGTCCTACCACCCCCCCGCCATGTCAACACATGCCAGCTCCACCAGCTTGCCCCCACCTGGCGATGACCTGCCAACTCAGGACTTATTTCTGCCTTATGAATGGCTCCGGTTAGATTCTGTGGAGGAAGACACGCTCAGATCCTTCAGGAAAAACAGACATACCACCTTCAATAAAACTATTACTCTTGCAGAAAAATGCCACTATATGTGGTTAATTATTGTAAATAGCATAATTATTGCTGATTAATCAAGTCATTAAGAATCAAATCAATAAGCAGGACGTCACTTGGATTCAGTCAAAACCTTTATTTGTCATTTTTTAAACTAGAACTGCATCGTGATCTTCGTACAGTAACGGGGAAGCTCTGAATCAGTTATTCTTATATAAGGCAGTTTACAGTGTAAACACTTTCATCTTGAAAATGAAGACATCCCAGCAATTTGAATTTTACAGCAGTTAAATAATATTTTACAGTGCATATTTTTACCAAGTCCACTTCATCCACCTGTTGTGTATATCCCATTGTGTAACACCATGGTTCAGGTTCAGCATGAGTATGAGCGAGGCAGGTTTTTAAATGCTAAGAATGGAGGGTAGATTCATGAAAAATAGTTTTACTCAAATGCTAAAATATACATATTAATACCGGGGGAGTTCATCCAAAAATAAACATACATTTAGGATTTGTGGCACATCTGGTGACTGTGAAGTTTTGCTTCACTTGGCAAACATGAGCCAACTCTTCTACTTCAGTTTCAACATAGAACTGAGAGGAAAAGTCACAGAGCAGAAACCAGCTGTCAGGAAGCTGCACGTTCATATTGTGCGCACGGCCACACCACAGTCATTGACGTAATGACTTAATGTCCGGACGGTTCAGGTACACAAAATAAATTATGTTAATATTCCTTCGTTATTCTTTTCGTTTTTCTAACACAGAAAAATAGTATATCCTGAGTTAATAACTGTAGGTGCACTAACATCCTCGATCGCAAAGGTGCTGAACTGACTTAGCTTCTACAATCTCCATCTTTAAATGCCTCTGTTAATGGAAAAATATATATTTTAAAGAAAATAGTGAGTCGTTTACATACATGGGCACAGATTGGGAAGAATGGTCACTTCAGACAGAGCACGTGATTCTCCAGGAACATCACCACAGCGTCCTAGCGCAGCAGCCATCACCCAAAGAGACATAATCACAAGTGCTGCAAGTTCCTGTCATAGTTTACCGAGTTTACACAAGAACTAAGGGCGGCGAGTGGATTTCAGTTGTCAAAGTATCATTATTATTATTATTATTATTAAGTTAGATTAAGTTATTCGATTTTGTCTCAGCAAACACAAATGAAACCTTTTCCAAACTGTCCCTTTATAAGCCGGCGCTATTTTAACTCCACACCTTCCTTCCTGTTTGACCACATGCCACTCCACGCCCTCCTCGACTCGACACACTTGTCGAAATTAACAGCAGCTGCCTTTAGTTGTGAAGCAGCACTAACTACTTCTCAACAATGAGTGTGATGCAAGTTGCTGTAGAAGCTACAGACCTGCCTGAGTAATAACCACAAACTTCCTGTACAATAACACTTGATTCAAACAGGAGCTCCTGACTTCATTAACACTTCATGTGGCCCCTGTGTGCTGCCCTAACTTACAGGTACAACAATCCTGCTGGATGAGAGAAGCCCAACCGCTCAACAAGCCATAGGAGACTGTCCCACTGACGGTCCGTTTCTAATATGTGTGGTATCGTTGACTCGGAGTGTGTCGGTCGCAGGCCTGTTGGAGTCGTGTGGTGAGGCTATCGCAGGAGGGATGAGGCTGTCGAGTTCCTGCCTGTTCCCCGTTTCCAGGAGCCACTCGTGGAACTTGACTTCCACCAACTCCTGGAACTGTCGCTTTTGCTCCCTGGAGGACAAACATGAGATGTGAATGAGGGATGAGGGAGAGATTAGTGTTAAAATGCAGTAACATAAAATCAATCTCTGTTGTTCTCTGTGCTGTCGAGTGTAAAACCCCTGAAGCAAGTTTTCTGACACTAATGACTCAGTGAACACAATAATATCTCAGCAGAGTGGATAACTCACTCTCTTATTGATTTTTGGGGGATGGCTGTTCTGTTGTAACTTTCCACTGGTTCAAGGAGACATAGTCTGCTCATATCCAGGTTAATCATTTAATTAGTGTTATTACTTGAAAAGGTTTACATGCTCAGAAAAGATATCACTTTCCTCAGACTGTCTATTCTCTTCTTTTCTGTCTATTCTCTTCTTTTCTGCCTTTGGTTTTAGACCCTTTACCTTTACCACCCTTTAACAGCACACATGCTTCTGCCACAGCTAATAACATTTCTCGCCATGTTGGAGAAAGTGAAATAAATCTTTAATCTGCACGTTTAAATGGTCTCATCCTTGGGTTTGTGGATCAGGTTCAGTAGTATTTGTGTTATCCTGCTAACGCCAATGAAAATAGCATGTATAAGCTGGATAATGGAACTTATTTTGATACATATTTAAATGAGTGTTTTATTCTACTTTATCATGTTGTCACTCACTTGTTCAGCCGAGACGCCATCACAGTCTTCTGCCAGTTCTGTATTCTCTTCTGCTTTTCATCGAGAGCTGCCTGATACTGAGCAGGCAAACCGCTGGGCACCTCACACGTGTCGCCCTCCATCTGGAAAGGCACAACCAGCGCGTGGAACTCTGCTGGGGGCAGCAGCCGGTAACAGCCGGGGTCCGAGTTGGACGACGTGTTGAGCAAGGGGTTGACGAGGCCCTCGGTCCCCAGAAGCAGGGGTTGATCCCAGACGTTGGGGACCACAGCCAGTCCCACACTGGCCATGTGATCCTCCAGAGACGGGTAGAATGTGTGGAAGGGTCCCAGGGTAATGTCTGTGTTTCCAGGCAGGAGCAAAGGCCGGTTGGGCGTCAAGGCGTAGATAGTGCAACGTGAGGAGGCTCCGACAGCGACCCTGCCCGCCACGCACACCACCCGCACGTTGTGGCAGCTGTGAATGTGGACGCTGGTCTCAACGGGACCCAGAACCACTAAGCTGTCGCGGCATTTGTCCAGACTGACTGATCTGAAAGTCAAAAATGATGATAGATGAACCATGTCCCCCCAAAAAAGTCCAAGACACATCAGGTATCATCAGAAGCTATTTTTACCTGAGAGGTGAGAGAAGGTAGATGAAGGCGTCGGAGCATCTGTGGATTTTAATGTTGGCACCAGTCAGCTTGTCGGAGGTTTTAGCGAGGGTCTGTTTGAAGACCTGGGACATCAGCACCATCTTACTGCCAGGCGGAGCCGTGTGGGTGTTCCTGGCTATTTTGGCTCTCTTCATGGCTCCCTCCACTAGAACGAACAAACAGAGACTGTCAAAGAAATGTATTGAAAAGATGATTCATACAAAACTGTACTTCTGATTTTGGAGAATTTCTTCTTGGACAAGTTGTCTCTCTAACTGCAGGAAAAAACTGCTGAGGACAGGATACCTTGTTGAGCCCAGGCCAGTTTCTTGCCAGAGCGCAGGCAGGCGGTAATCCCAAACGGGTTGAGAGTGAGGCTGTGCTGGAGGCAGGAGAGCAACGTGTGCAGGGAGAAGGATCGACTGAGTGTGGAGTAGCCAGCTTGTGTCTGGACTGGACCTTTGGTCAGCAGCCTGTGGACGGGCTGAACAGCTCTGCCGCAGGAAACCGAACCCTCCAGCAGCAGACCCAGACTCCGCACGGCCTCCAGGGAGATCTGGCAAAGGGTCATTTAAAAGAACTTAATAAAATATTTCAACAGTTTGTTTCTGACACTTTTTTAAGTTAGGTGCACGTCCCAGCTGCTAACATGAAGAAATGGATCAATGGAGGGTGTGTGCACATACCTGACAGTCTCTCAGTGCCTGTCCAGATTGTGACAGTTGTCCTGGTTCAACCAGAAGCTCCAGAATCTCACCAAGGTGACTTTGCACAAACGACAGGTGAGCCTGATCGTCCCAGTTCTGCCAAACCGGAAAAGAAACAGACAAAAAAACAGCACCATGAGTGGAAGATCTGACAGGACAGAGAGAGGACGAAGACATTTGAGCTTTAGACTTGATATTCTTCACACTTTGCAGGGACCTTGTTCTGGGAGCTCGTCTTGGCCTCTCGGTCTGAGGGAGAGGGGGAGCGGGTGCGGTGACTGGGCCACTCTTCACCGATCAGGGAGGTGCGGAGAGATACACGGTTCAGCTGCTGGATGTAGAGGAAGAGGAGGAACTGCAGCGTGTCCACAGACAACTGCAGTAAAAAGGAATTTAAAAAGAAAAACAAGCAGGGTTTGAATATCAATATGTCGCTCCTGCTCAACATTTGAGACCATGGCTGCAGCATCAGCCTCTGCCTGAGGTGTAAGACACACCCTCATGAAAGACACGACACAAACAGGTTAACTGGGGCGATGAGATAGGATCAGATTCTTTGGTAAACTGATACATTTGCACATGACTTCAGCCGCTCTCCACCCCCCGTCATCCTTTCACCTTGTTCCTTTGTTGGTCCAGCTCACTTTTGGAGGAGCACAGGGAAAGACACTCCGCCCGCTCCAGCCTCTCCTCTGCTGTGTGGCCTGTGAGAAGGTCAAAAGTCTCAAAGTAGAGCCACGCCAGGTCTTCTGGAAGCTGGAGCTTTCCACAGGCGATGTGCCTCCACATGGGCCAGCCCAGAACTGGGAAGCAGCCGTCCCTCGTTCGCACGTAGGTCGCCATCTTGCGCAGATAGTGCAGGCTGAGTTTGGAGGAGGGAGCCACCTGCAAAATACACCAACCCTGTTTATTCTCAAGACATTTACACCAACGGAACAACATCTCATACTTAAAAGAAGACATGATGTTTTTCAGTGTTTCTTTCCCATCTGGCCTAAGAATGCCTCGAGATCACTCTACAATCTCTCTCCAAAAATGAGCATGTCTTTGAGTCCTCTGTGTGTGTGGGATTGTCGGTTTAAATTGCATGTATAAAAAATGTAAAATGAGTGTAAAAAGAATTTCCCCTTGTGGGATAAATAAAGGAAGTTTAAGTTTAAGAAAGAGGGACGTTTGGAATAAAGTACTGGGCCGCTACCTCTGTGACCCAAGCCGGATAAGTGGAAGACATTGGATGGATTGAATATGAGCAGAATATATCTCCTTTACAGATGGTAGTTGGTATAAGTTGGTAAGAGTGTATTCACCTGCAGGGCGCCCAGTAAGAAGGGCTCCATGCGCGGCCATATGCTCACAATGTCTGCCTCCATGTCTGCAGAGAAAGGAACCAAAAACAGATTTAAGTTTAAACCTTCGTTGCACCTTGTTAAGCCCGATGAGGCAAATTGTGATTTTCGAATAATATGAACTATACAAATAAAATCTGATTCATTGATTGAAGAATTTCCTTGAAGAAGAGAGAGATTTAAGAACAGTCGGGTCGCTGGAAGTCAAACAATCATTAACACTAATTAACACTGAAGCAACAGGCAGACTACAACCGTGACACCTCGCTATCACACTTCATTCAAATAGGTTTTGAAAGCCCATGTGAATAATCTTATTAAATCTCGTTCCTTTCATCTATGAAATTTAAAATAGACAAAGACCTGAAGACACTAGTGAATATGAATTAAATGCTTGAGTGATGAAACATTGAATTATTGCACAAAGAATCGCAGCACTTGCAGAGATGAGCTTAGGCAGAATTTGAGTTTAAAACATCATTTACAAGAAAAGCCTTTAATACCACGGCTGGTTTGAATTGAGGAGTTGTTGTTCAGACGAGTGCTATAAAGATGAAGACTCGTTGTTTGACTGTTCTTCCACATGAACTGTCTGAAGACGAGCTCAGCTGTGACGAGTTTAGTTCCACACCACAGACGCGGAGTCGCTCCCATGACAACAGGCTGCACTTGTCATCACCTGCTGACCTGACCTCACGTCAGAAACATGCTAACCGAGCTAACGCAGCACAGACACCGGTCCAACAATCACAGACCTGCGTCGTGTCGGTGCAACAAGAGGTCAGTTTTCTGTCTGTCGCAGTTTAACCCCTGCAGCCTGAGCCTAGCTGTTAGCTGCTGTTAGCTGTTGTTAGCTGCTGATGCTAACAGAGGCTGCCTCTCTCTCTTACTTTCAGCCTCGGTCCTGGTCCCGGCAGCGGGCAGCTCCGTGTCTGTGGCCGGTGAGGGAGCGGGTCCGGTGGAACATAAGTGAGGGTGGATGCGGTTTGTTGCGGTCTGTTGCGGTTAAACTTGGACCGCACGTTCACATCTGCTTCGCTTCCTATTTACCGCCTCTGCTCCCGCATCTGTTGCGCGCAGCTCGCGGGGACGCGCCTATGCTGCATTCAACAAAGTAGTTTAAGCGGAAAGAGAAGAATTTATTATAATATTACACTTTATTTATTTGTATTAATCCGAACTGATTATCAGACTGGGTGAGCAACACTATTTTATTTTACTCTGACTGTTTTTATTTATTATATTTTACTTGACTGCTTTTTAATTTCATTTTATTTTGCTGTGATTCCTTATTTTACTGTTTGTTTACGCTACGATCATCCGGACTACAAATTTTTTTAAACTTTATTTTCAAAATGCAAAATAAATATTGAATAAAATTTGTTTTTTTTTCTTCTTCTTCCGTAATCCGTAAAAAAAAAATCGTTGAAACTGTCTCTTTAAAAGTGGGCGGGCCTCGCGCAGGGAGGCGGGTCTGCTACCCTCCGGTGGGCGGGGTATCAGTGACAGCAGGAAGAAGGCTGGTGTGGCCGCGGAATCGAACCTCGAGGAGCCGCTGACTCTCTGCTTCCTTTAGAAAGACGTGGATCTGATGGCGACCAGAGGGATGAACCTGTGGAACGTGTGCGTGCTGCTGCTCTATGTGACCACGGCGGTGCTCGCGGGGTAAGAGCTCGGGGCTCGAACACGGTACAGCTGGTACACATGTTCCACTGTGATTGGTCCAAACCGGGGCTACACGTGAGGACCGGACGGAAGCAGACCCTCACACCGAAGCTAACTCAGCTAACAACAAGCTAATACCTGCTATTATTAGCTGTTTTATTTGCTAAACGTTCGGTGCATGTGAATGGTGACTTGTTAGCTAAGCATGCTAGGAGCTAGCCTCCATCGCTAACCGGTAGTAGCTAGCTCTGCTCTTCTCTTCCCCCGGAACTTGCTTGAGAATCATCACATTTGTAGCTGTATTTAAACGTCACAGCCATCCTCTGATAACCGTCTGTTATTTCAGTGATCCCCAACAAACACTAACTACTAATAGTGAATTCGGCTGACTCCATTTACCAAAATGTAAACAAATCCCTGCTAAACGGGGCTCGAACCCGACGGTGCTGCCTGTGTTGCCTCTGTCTGATCCCTGTCATCTCCCTCCTCCGTGTAGGCGAGATTTCTACCAGATCCTGGGGGTGAGTAAGAGTGCGACGGTCCGGGACATTAAGAAGGCCTACAGAAAGCTGGCCCTGCAGTTACACCCGGACCGGAACCAGGACGACCCCAAAGCCCAGGACAAGTTCGCGGACCTGGGGGCTGCGTATGAGGTGAGCCCGCTGGTTCTCATGTGGCCGATGACGGGGTTGGTTTGTGAAACCAGATGTTTTCACTGAAACTGAGACACTCGAGTCTTTGGTACCGGCTTCTTGGTTGTTGTCGGAAACGGTTCGGGCCACTGTGATTGGTCGACTAGACCGTGTGGCTGCTTCTGATTGGCTGTCATGTATGCACAGCTGGCGTTAGGTAAAGCCTGACGTGGATCTGTGGGAGTGGATTCAGCTCAGCTGTTTAAAGTGACCTTTAGCTTTTCACAAGAAAAATGTAAACTTTATAACACACTTCAATAAGTTGGCAGCTGTTATAATAATATTATCTGTCTGTATAATGTACTACAGTACAGTATTATTGTACTGTATTATATTAATATTGTACAGTTGTGTTCAACCCCTCAAAACAGTACAAACACAATATATTTAATGTTCTCTGTAAATGTAGAATCCTTCTGAGCTTGAATTTATTGAGATTCTGTTCTTATTTACGTTTTACTGAGTCCCAACTTTGTCGTTTTTATTCAAATCTTCTGGGTCTAAGATTGTTTTTGTGATTTATATGAAGTAGCTGCTGTCTTAGCTCTCTAAGCAATTAAAGTTCTGTAAGTGCTGCTGTATGAATACATAATGAATGAGATGTAGTAAAACACAGTTGTGCGAGTGGAAATTAAATTTTACTTTTAATTTCATTCGTTTATTAAAGTTGAATTAAAGACGTTGACTTGGTTCTAGATTCTTAAAGAAGTTTAACTTTTTATCTCAAACTTCTTCAGTTCCACGTTTCCCTCCAGTTTCCATGTTCAATTTTATAAACATAGAAAAATAGAAATATTGTAATAACCTTTTCCAATTGGTCTTAATATAAAACTTACAGCAGGGACGGGGTGAATGTTTTCAGTGCCCTGCGTCTGAACAGTAGAGAATCCCCCATCATTCCAGCTTCCAGAGTCAAGGATAGAGAAAGAGGAGATGGAGGGAAAGGCGTTCAAATGTTTGAGTCCAGCAATGGATGCTGGCTGAGGTTAATGAAGGAGGTTCACATGCAAAACCTGAGGTTGATATTCAGGTCGCCAAGCAACAGGTAACAGAAGCAGCAAGAGTGTTTCTGCAGAAGATATAATTGTTTGCACGACTGTATTTCACTGGAATATACAAATGTTATGGTGCCACAAGCTGCTTCTATAACTTGAGTTCAAATGTAGAACCATGTTCAATGACTGGTTGTGTTTGTAGGTGCTCTCCGATGAGGAGAAGAGGAAACAGTACGACGCGTATGGAGAAGACGGACTGAAAGAAGGTCACCACAGTTCACACAACGATATCTTCTCCAGGTTGGTTTCATGGACACAGTGTTTTTCACAGCTCTGAAAGGCGACAGGGTCGATTACTGTACGCAGCTAAATGTCTTGATAAATTTTGATAAACCCACAGACCGCTGGAGAAAACTGTCTCGGCCAACTCTTGATGGAAAGCTGTTAAACAATATTAAAATATTTGGAGATGGAAACGTGTTTGCTGCTGGAAGCAGAGTGTCTTTATTGAATGTTGTTAATGAAACCACAGATTAAAATATCTTATTACTCACGTCTGAATTTAAAGAAGAGTCTCAACATGTTGCTCCTCCCTCTGTAGCTTTTTTGGTGACTTCGGTTTCATGTTCGGAGGAAACCGCCAGCAGCAGGACAGAAACATCCCCAGAGGAAATGACATCATACTCGACCTGGAGGTCACGCTTGAAGAGGTGTACTCTGGGAATTTTGTGGAGGTAAGAAGAAAATCCTGCTCATTAAACGAAAAATGTCCAGGTGTTGTTTGTTTAACAGAAACTGAAATTAATTACAATTGAGTCTGTTTAAATTAATTAATTTTTCAAATCTGACTCTCTTGTCTCGCAGGTTGTACGTAACAAACCTGTAGCTAAAGAAGCTCCTGGCAAGAGGAAGTGTAACTGCAGACAGGAGATGAGGACGACGCAGCTCGGACCCGGACGCTTCCAGATGACCCAGGAGATGGTGTGTGACGAGTGTCCCAATGTAAAGTAAGTCTGGGAAAACACAACTTTGAATTTAGATTACAAGCATAGACTGTAGAAATGGACGTGGACACCGGGTGCAGAAAATGAAGCTAACGCTGAAGTGTCTGATACCTTTATTTTCTCAAGTGACCAACAGGGGGCGACTCTGCTGGTTGTCTATAGAAAATGAATCTCACTTTATGACATCAGCAAACATTGTCCTCAGGAGTTTCTGTCTCAATCTCTAGTTTCAAATCTTCCTCAATACAACTGATGTTTATTGAGTAAGTTATGATCATTTAGAGTCAAATGAACCATAAAGACTGAGTGAATATTACAGTGGAATCAAGAAACACGTTATATCATAACACGAGTTTTATTTTCTTTGTTTTCCACAGGCTGGTAAATGAAGAGAGAACCCTGGAGGTAGAAATTGAACAGGGAGTGAGGGATGAAATGGAATATCCTTTCATCGGAGAAGGTAAACTTACAAACATTTATATTAAAATCTATGTATTTGTTGTTTTTTTGTTCATATTATCTGGTCTTAACTTCTCACGTGTGATAACAGGGGAACCTCACATTGACGGGGAACCTGGAGATCTACGATTCCGCATCAAAGTGTTGAAGTATGAACATGTTTTTTTTTACTGTCTATTATGTAAAAACAAAATACTGAGATACTAACGTGACGTGTGTGTGTGTGTGACTCTTCTCTTTAGACATCCTGTGTTTGAACGCAGAGGAGACGACCTGTACACTAACGTCACCATCTCCCTGGTGGAGGCTCTGGTCGGCTTTGAGATGGACATTGCACATTTGGACGGACACAAGGTTCTGCACAGAACTAAAGTTCATAAAAACAATATTTAAAGTTTCATATAATTAAAACAAAGAGGAGCGTGTGATTGAATGTTCTTGTTCCTCTTTGATCTACAGGTCCACATAGTGAGAGACAAAATCACGAAACCCGGCGCTCGGATGTGGAAGAAAGGAGAAGGTCTTCCAAACTTTGACAACATCAACATCCGAGGTTCCCTCATCATCACCTTCGATGTGGAGTTTCCTCAGACGCAGCTCGACGAGCAGCAGAAAGACGGTGAGAGTGAAGGAGACGTGGGTCTTCACCAGGCAGAAGCTACGTCACAGTATTCTAAATGTTCAATAAGAGAAGAGAACTTAACAATAATATTTTTAGCACTATATTGTTCATTATCTGTTTATACAGCAGCTTCCAATTATGATAGTGACAGTAATAGAAGTTGCTGTCTCTTGTCTCAACTGGTTGAAGTGGTGAGAAGAGGTGGATTAATGGACGGAGTGATGGATGGAGGGATGGATGGAGGGATAGATGGAGGGATGATGGAGTGATGGAGGTTTTTTTTTCAGAGATGGTTGAAGTCGTGAGGAACTTTGAGGCGGTGAAGAAGCGATGGATGTTGGCCGAGGTGGAGCTGAAGAAATACAAAGAGCTGCTGGTGAAGTCTGATGTGGCCAAAGCTGCTCTGGAGGTAAAACTGAAACATGCTCGTAATCAACTGGATGTAGAGATGAAGAAACGTTACAAGATGGAGGCTGACTACGTTTACCTGGTGAGCTCACCTTCAAAATAAAAGATTTATGTTTAAAGTTATGTCAGAGGAGGAGGACAAACTTATCTAACATTTTGTTGGGACAAAAGTCCTACTTAAAATGTTGTCGTGATGTTGCCCGAACCTAAAATCCAATCTGATCTGACCAAGTCTGATTTGACTTAACCTGATCTGATTAAATCTTATTTTAAGGTTTCTTTATTAGAACCTGAAGGTAAATTTGTTTTGCAGACAGCAATCCAAAGATAAAAACAGGAAACAAAAGACAACACATTTGTTAATAAGATGACATCACACCTTCTCAATTCATAAAACATGAAAACAAACACACAGCAGACAGCAATGGAACCTCACACATCCACGACAAAGTGCTTTACCAGCTTCATATGCGCCAGCACCTCCTACAGGAGCCTGAGGTGCTATGGCAAGACAAAAGCTGATGAGCTTGTTTGCAAAGTGTTTCCCAGTTCTTAAAGTTTTAGAGGCAATGACTCTATATTGATCATTTTCAACACACTCCACAGGCTGGCCTTTGATGATTGTAGAATCATGGGTGGGAGCATGCTTTCCAAAGCTAATAATCATAACCTTTGCTATTAGATCTAATCTAGTATAATCTGATTTAATCTGAGCTCACTGAATTTAATGTAATGTAATCTAGTTTAGTGTAATCTGATTTATTCTGATCTAATATGATCTGATTTAAGCTAATTTGTTTAATGTGATTTGTTGTAATCTCTGGTTCGCAGCAGCGGCAGATGCAGCTCATGTGCGATATCCTGGTCCACGACAGTAAATCAAGTTCGTGTCTGAATGACGAGCAGAAATCTCTGTTAGCGACGTTTGAACACAGAGGAGGAAATGTTACTCAGCAGCGGAGCAGCAAACGGAAAGTTCACTAAAACATTAAAATATCAACGATCAAAACAAAGACGAGAGAAACATTTCCTCAGTAGTTTTGATTGATGAGTTCAGCTGAGTGATTGATTGATGTAACGTGTCGATTTGTCCCTTCAGGTTGTCGGTGATTGATGAATCGTCGTTCTTATCTCACTCTGACATCAGCTACGATCGGACTGATGACGACGTGGTACAAACATGTTTTATTAAAATCACAGTTTGGACAGANACACACACACACACACACACACACACAGAAACACACACATCGTCAATCTGGCCAGGGTGTATTTATTATTTTCAGATTGTTCTCAGGATGGATTGAACCCAATTAAGTTTTTATTTTTTAATCTTCAACATCTCATCATCGGTGGCATAATTACAGACGCTTGGTTTGTGTGTGTAAACGGGAAATGATGCCACGTCTCTCTTGTAATAAGGCCTTTTTTTGTTTATTTGAAAAATCCAATTATCCTGTTTGTATCCGAGTGACGCGTCGAGGTCAAACAAACGCCGTCACCCGTGGAGACGACAGTCAGACACTCACTCATCTTCCCTGACAACTGCTGCTGCAGGAACTCGACACCTGAAGAAGAATCGACTTTCCAAACCTTGACTTGATCCTTGTTTTTGTTATGAATTCATTTCATGGATGTAAAAGCTGTTGAGTGATAGGATCGTTTTTTTGCTCTGGTCAGAGTCCTGTTCAAAACTACTCTGTAAATAGAGAAGAACAAATCTCATCTGTTGTGTTTAAGGTTCCTAATTTAAGTCGCCTCTTACTGAAACGTTTGCATTTGACCCCCCCTCCCCCTCCCCCAGGTTCACTGCAACAAGAGTTGACCTCTTACATTAAACAGTGACGTTGAATTATTCCAGAGGAGCGCTTGTTTTCCTCTCCTCCACTGTACGGCCTGAACGCCTCTCACTCAAAGGGACTTCAGGCGATGGAGCGTCGGCACCTCGCTGGCTCGTGTGATTTCTAACCTGGTTTTAGGATTTCCCTCCTCTCTGTTTTTACCATCGACTGCATCGCTGCCTCACGGTTTTACGAGTGCGTCACAGACTTTAATGTGAATTATTTGGCCGTTTTTACTGGGTGTTTTAGGGGATGATGTACTTTTGACTGACTAAATAAAAAAAAAAGGATTTCTACAAGTTCTGATGACATGTCATACTATGAATCCACCAGCGAATGGCACCAGAGTCCTGATGATGGTGATTTATCAGGAAACCCTGTGTGTTTGGAGGCTGCAGTAACATGTTTCCTGTCGGGCTGCACCACTGTGGATCTGATCAGCATGTTGGTTAGCGTGTTGATTAGCGTGTAGCCTGACATATCCAGCACAGCAGAAAAACAAACACAAAAAAAAAATCCCTACTGCAGAAGAGGAATGTGCATCTGTACAGAAAGTGTTTCTTACACAGAGTAAAACAAGCTGCTGTTCACGACACTAATGACTCCACATGTTGTGGTCACACGCTTACACAGATTCGACAAAGGTTCTGGATTTGTAGAAATGAATTAAATTGTAATTTGATTTATTAATAGAATTAAGTTTCATTATTTAAGTGTCAATGTCAGACACATTTAAAACAAGGTGGTTGACCGAAGTGAAAGGTGAAAACAATAACACAGCAAAGTTATATATCAAAATACTAATATAATATATCAATAAAAAAGCTGTGTGTGTGTGAGTGAGATGATATATCTCAGTAGAAATAGCTCATGTGCTTTGTGTGTGTGTGTGCGTGTGTGAATTCCTGTGTGTGGATAATGAACTCCCACAGAGATAGCAGGGCTGTGGTGAAGGGAGTTTCCTCCCCGGCCCACCACACGTCCCTCAGTCGTCCTCAGACTGACGAGGCCGCGGAGACGAGAAGAGAAGCTTTGTGATAAAACCTCTGACTGTGTCACAGGCGAGTTAACGGGGCCGCTGAGACTCGGACTGTTAAAGGCCACCGCAACACACACACAGCCAACTGCACTGAGCTGCATCTCTGAGACGTCCTCAGAGGAATGACCCGCCCCAGAAGTCTGAGACCACTTTCTCACTCATGGACGGATAACGAGGACACATGAGCACAGACAAGTTAAAGACAGTATATAAAGACCCCCCCCCCCCCTCCTCTGACATGAGACCAGACACACAGACTGTCTCTTTGTGGTCATTTTGTGTCTCTGCAGTTGTTTTGTGTTGTTTCTGTTGTAAGTTTTTGTGACATGTGCATCGGGTTGTTGTGCTTTTGGGGTCATTTTGTGTCTTCACAGTAATTTTGTGTATTTTTGTTTTATTTTGCATGTCTCCGTTGTTGTTTTTGTTACGTCCATCAAGGAGATCATGTCGTCTTTACCTGTCTGTCTGCAGGATTAATCCAAGAAATTCTGAATTGATTTCCATGAAACTCTTTTTTCGGGGTGACCCCAGGGAGAACTTTTTACATTCTGTAATAGATTTGTATAAACGGATGGATCCAGTTTTAAAATTTTCTTTAACATGGTGAGATAGGGTGTTGGCCTCGGGGGAGATTTGCAGCCATGTTGTGTCTCTGTGGGCATTTAATTGAATTTATTGTCACTGTGAAAACTGGTTTGGGGGCCTCCTGGTCCTGTGTCTTTTTAAAGAATATATTCAAAGACATATAGACAATCATCTCCACTTTAAAGATTCTGCACTTTAAAATAAAGATGTTCTCGTACATAGTTAGTTGAGAGAAGTCAACATGAAGATCTACGGTTCTGATCAGGATCCACACCGTCACGTTTCAGCTTCAGAGAACTGAGCGACTGTGTGAGTTGTCCACAAACGGTCTCTTCTAACCACTTGTCATTACAAATCCAGGGGCACATGAGGGCAGCATTGCCTCTTCAATCACATCCCTCTCTAAATCACTTTTTATTACCCACAACACTCAGCAGAGGTCCATGTTTGTGGGTGTGCATGAGCCTGAACGCCTGCACTTGCCAGTTGTTGATGCAGATAAGCACAGGGATCACACTTGACCCTGAGTGTAATGACTGTAAGTGTAGCTGCAGGGTTAAGAGAGGCACAGGCTGAAGGAGGGCTAATTGAGCAATCTGTGTGTGTGTGTGTGTGTGTGTGTGTGTTGGCGCCAATGGCTGTTTTGACCTGCTCTGACTCGACAGTGTGCTCGGTTAATGGTGCCTGACCTGCACAGAGCTCGGCTCCAAAACGACACCAGATCGTCACTCGCTGCCGGAACATAAATCTTTTACAGTCGTTTCCCACAAGTGACTCAACTTCTGACATCTCAAAATATTTGAACTCTGGATGTTTAAGTATTAACGCGTCTGTTATGATTTTATGATGATGAATTCGCTATTTGTAATTAGAGAGTTTTTAAGAGGAAATTAAAATAGGAGACGCCACTGAACATTTTCTTTCAACCTTGAAGGTCCAGTCTTTTAGTAGAAATTAAATATAATATTGACAATATTTTCATTGGTGTATAATCACCTGAAACTAAACTCTACACCATGTTTCTACAGTATCCTAGAATGAGGGTCTTTCCATTCATGCATCCTTTACGTTGGCGTGTTGAGCAATAAAGAGAAGTGCAGAGACCGAGTTTCTGAACAATACACGTCAAATAAATACGTCTTAACACAAAGGTATTCAGTTCAGACGTCTCTAAATCCAACATATTAAATATCTAAGTAATATCTCTCATGACAGTCCATTTACAAATGTGTAAAAATGTTTTTCCAATGATTTATCAGGAGGAAAGAATTACTCAGATTAATTATTATTCAGGAACTTAAATGAAATTCAATATTGAGGCT